GCTTTGATTTGATATATTATCCAGCTACCTCAAAGAACAAATTTCAAATTTAAAAAGAGGGGAATAGTCACATTTCTTGTGCAGCCTTTTCTTTAGAAAACTTGTAATGAGTAAGCAAATCCACCATAGAGCTAAGGCCGGCTCAGAGACCTGTCATAACTACAAAACACAATACAGTTGTATGAAGAGATAAGGGTTTTGGAGACTTTCTTACTTTAGGAGAGTGTGTTTGACTTAGTTTACAACTTCTGTTCCTACTTTATAAAATTATATAGCTTACACTGGTGTCTATATATCATTACAGGCAGGATACTTCCAGCTTGACCAGTATAGTGTGGATTCATACATATTTGCAGTCCTCTTCTAAACAGATACTGTACATTTTGCCCATGCCTACACAGACGAAGCCTAAAAATAGTATCTATTTTCAGGATGTTGAGAAGGCTTTTTTTTACCTCTCAAATCTGCCCAAGGTTTACGGGTGAAAATACACTGTTTTCTGTCATAATGCCTAGAGTTATGAATCACCTGAAACCCCACAGTGTTGAACATTGGAATAAAGTATACTTGACGGTCAGCTGCAAGGGAAAACACTGCTTCCAAACACTATACTGGCAAACAGAAGGATGTTTGTATTGTGTTTACTTTTACAGTTATTTGTGTGGGAGAGCTTTTTTCTTTTGTTTTCCTCTAACAGTCAATGATACTCACTCTTTAGGGTCTTATTCACCAGAACTAACATTTAATTGAAACAACCCACTTGCACTATGGGTACTCTTAGTTCTGTTTGTATTCATGTGGTACAGAATAAAACAGTTCATCAATTCCATTTTGTTATTGCTCATTAAGCTACTTCCCTTTGAAACTGTACCTGTAGAATGCTGCATTTCAAATTAACGTTCAGAATTTTCCACAGAGATCCCCCAAAGCATTTCTCTAATCTGCATGTGTCTGGAGATGAATTATCTTTCTTGCTGTACAGATAATTGTCCATGACAAGCACTGAAAGTACTTTAATTATATTTAAGCCTAATTCCTGTAATTCTTCCCTCTATACTGCAATATACACCTGGTTACTCTTGGTGCCATTTACAAACCATAAACACCTCTATACCGTATATGTATAGAGGAAGTACCAGTCAGTGCTGTGGTCTTTACATTGCTTTGTATAATCAAGCTCCTGCAAATACATCTCAGCTCATGCAGTAAACTGAGAAGAAGGGTGTTCCTGGACACTAGGATGACTGCATCTTCATCTAAGCAGATGTTCTTCCATGGGTATCCTGTAGTGGTATCACTTATAAACTGCTGTTTTGGTGCTCTACCAATCAGCACCTATTGGGAGGAGCTAAAAGTATTGCAGGTCTGACAGCAGAGACAGTCATAAAACCACTGGCCTAGTCCTCTCCTCCAACATTTGCCAGTGGACCTACCCTGAATAAGGAGACATGCACTGCCAGCTCTGTCCAGGAGACTGTTACCAGCTACAGTTAGCAGTTACTACTGCCGAAACAAAGAATACTTTAGGTTAGCAAGCACTTCTAGAAATCTAGTGTATGTACAGCTTTGGCTAGAGCACCCAGGGCCATGTTAAGTGTCTATCTCTAAGGGGGGAAATGTCACAACATCCCTTGCCAACCTGTTCCAACATTTGACTACCCTTGTTATACAGAAGTGTTTTCTTATGTTCAGATGGAAAATACTGTTTTGGTGGTGGTGGTGGTGGTGGTGATTGGTTGTTTTTTTTTTTCATTTCTTTGTTTTAAATCCATGCCTCTTGTTCTGTCACTGGACATGACTGAGATGACTCTGACTCCCCCTTCTTCTCTCCCAACCATCAGCTATTTGTATATATCAATAAGATCCCTGTTGAATCTGCTCTTCTTCAGGCCAAACAATCTCTCTCAGCCTTTCCTAATGTGAAAGATGCTCCAGTCCCTCCGTCTACTTTGTGGTTCTTTGCTGGACTTGCTCCACATCTTGTACTGGGGAGCCCAGAACTGGACCCAGTGCTCCAGATCTCCAGCTGAGAATTCAATGTAGATATCAGCTCCCTTGACCTGCTAGTAATGTGTTTACTAATGCAACCCAGTATGCTATTGGCCTTCTTTGCTGTAAGGATCAGGCCCAGTTTGAGACTAACAGACTGAATGTAATGAATGTGCTGGAGATCAGAGGTTCCACAAAAATGCTATTTTTCATGGTTACAAAGCTAGATTAAATTACCAGAACAGTTATCATTAAAAGCCCACATGCATCTATCTTTTCCTGCCTCTTCCCTGCATAGCTCAGTCTTTCAGGTACAGCATAAAGTGTGATGCACCATGGTGTTGAAAACCCTCACTGCTTAGAATGGAATAGTCCCTCTTGTGGGTTGCTACAGTTTCCTTGAACTGGGTGGGAAGGAGTTAAAAATTCCACTGGCTTTCTGGCTAGTTGGGCTCTCAAGAAACATCAGGTTCTCTTTCCTGCTCTTCTTCATAGCAGTGTCATTCCTGCTGTGCTTTTCTAAACTTTTGTAAAGAGCTCCAGGGATGGGAACAGGAACATTTCCACAGACAAACTTCGTGGTTCAAAACTGTTACTGTTTCTAAGGTCCAACATCTAATGATAATCTTCTTTGGCACCTCTTGGGTCCATTATCATCTGTCATACCAATACATCTTCCTTGACACCAGACATGGTAGTGTTTGATTATTTGGAGTTCATATGTTTGACATTTTCTCCTTTGGTCCTTCATTTAATCAAAACCAGCAGACAGAATCATAACTGGGATTGAACTGATAGCCCCAGATCTCCACCAAGCTCATAGTGCTCACTAAGACAATTGCATCTGTTTTCAAATAACATACAGTCCTTCTATCTGATAGACATGTCAAACCATGTTTCCACGTAAGGTATGTAAGAGTAAAATTGCCTACAGCTTGTGAAAAAGGAAACAAAGGTAAAAGAATGCACAGAGTGTTTCAAATAAAACACTGAATGAAGAACTGAAATAAATGAGGTATAGAGTTGAATGTGAAGTTTTGTATATAAGACTACTATGTGACTTATGGAAATGAGAAATGGCATGGAAAATGTGAAGTATCAGCTGAGAATTTCGAAGTGCTACAAAGAACATGGGGGCAAGAGACTTCAGGCTACAGAAGCTGGAAGAAAAACCATGGAATGGGAGGGAACAGAAGAGAGAAGGCAAGCAAGAAGTGAAAACATCTGTGTCATAACAGGGAATGATAATATTGGAAGGTTCCATAATTTTAAATGGTATTTAGTTCTAAAGGGAGGGATGGTGAGATAGAAAAGGTTTTCTGAGCCTGTGGGGCGGAAGTCAAGGTCAACATTGGTATCACTCAGGATATTTAAACTATCTTTTAGGTTAAGACAAGACCAGTCAAACAATGTGGGGAAATATCAGAAAATTTGATAGAGATATTAAACACTTTTTTTTTTTTTTTTTTGCTTGTTACCTATTTGCAAATACTACATTTGCTCTAGGCTGAGCTACCTATACATGACTGTATACTTAGTTTTATTATTCAGGCTTCTAAATGGCAACTAGTGTATGGAAGGGTTGCCTTTCTCTAGAGTTGCTATTGGTATGATGACTGTATTTCCATATTTGTAAATATCTATGTGTGTTCTGTAGGATATATCATATGGGAAATGGTCTTGCAGATTTACAAATGTACCAAATTCTATTTCAAGGGAAGTTATGCCGAAGTAAAGACTGCAGCTTATGTTGTGAGTATTAAAGTCCAGACTAAAGTATCAGTTTTATTTCAAATACTCAAAGTCTTTGTAGGAAAGCTTGTATTCATGAGAATTTACCTCAAGAGAAGCAAAGAGAACAGATGTGTAAAATGAATGTAAACAGAGTGTAAATTTAAGGGAAAAGACTCTATCCCAAATTCTGAAACTAAAGCAACCCTCAAATACTTCTAATTCCATGACTTATTCTTACCCTAGAAGTTTCTGTGTCTCAAAACTAGTGCTTTAGCCATCATGAAGTACATTTTGTAACAGAAAAATTACTTGTGCAAAATCATATATAATAAAAAAGAAAGTTCTGATCCTTATGAAGAGATGCAGAAGGACTCAACTAGGCAGTATGAGAATGTCACTACCAGGGCAGGTATTGCTATTTGCAGATACCAGCCCCTAACATTACTGTTGCCTCTGTTGATTTTGTACTTGACAGCAGAAGAACAGCATGTGATGAGCAAAATTGCTCCTGGCTTTTTGAAACCTGTGTTTGGAAAGCAGGGAACATCACAAAAGAAGTAGAACTGTTTCACATTATGCATACATGAATTCAGATAATGCAACTAGAGCAATTACAAGACATAATCCAGCCAGCTGAAAAGCTATATCTTAACTATGCAGTTCTAGCTGAGATGTTCCAGTCAACAAGCGTTTAGCTAGAGGCAACTGTGCCTCAAAACAAAACATTTTCCAAAATTAGTTTTGAAAAATAGGCCCTTGGGAACTACTTTTTTAGATACTTGGTGATAAGGCAGTTTGTAAAGGAACATCTACTGCCCTAAGTTTTGCTTATACTTGCAAAAAGACAGAGCTGCCCTATTTAGAAGATCGGAGCCTTTGGCATATTATATGGGTTATACATAATTTAATCTTTTAACAGAATATTTTAAATCATCCCCAGAAAAAAAAAAATAAAAAAAAATCTGTAGAGTCATTGCAGAGCAATCACATTACTTCTAAAATCATCCTCAGACCTGTTTTCCTTTTATCCTGTGTTCTGTAGGCACTAATCTTGGTTTAAACTAGTTTCAAAACACCCCATTTAAATCTCTGGGAAGATTGTTTTTGCTGAATCACTTAAACATTCTTAGTAATTTTTGTTTTCAACCTTTTGGTTTCAACCGTATTTCTAATACATTTAACAGAGACCTTAATAAGGAGCATGGAAGACAGGTGTAAACAAAGAGAAGAGAAAAATAATCTATTTTAAAATTCCTGAAATGTTGACCGTTGTAAATTTTTACACCTAGTGAAATGCTGGGAGTACAGACCATCCTCTACTTGCTCTCTATCTGTGGGTCATAATCTGCTTGACATGTCCTGATAGTTTGGTGGTTTGTTTTTCTTTCCTTACAGTTGATTCCCACAAGCTACAGGATATATTAACATTTTAGTTCAGATGAGGAGCTTACCATTGCCGACAATTTGCCAACTATCCCTTCTTGCTGTGCTTTGCTACAACATACACTGCATTCCTTTAAAATGTGTCTAAAACAGAAGATTCACACCTAATTCATACCAGCTACTATGACTAGTCTAAATTTGTACCACACTAGAGCCATTCTAAAATAAAATCCCTTGACATGACACACTTTATATGTAATATATGAAGTAGATGTTTGCACTGTCTGCTTTGCTCTACAGATCTGCTCTCATTGGGCTACAATGAACAGACCACGTAGCTACTGTAGACATAGACAGAGTTTGTCTAAATAAATAAATAAATCCCTTCCCATGGAATGTTTATGCCTGTGAGCACTTAACCTTTATATCACTATAAAATTTTTACTTGTTCTAGAAATAATTTACTTGATAGGGATATAAAGAAATTCTTCTTCATGAAAGAAAAACATAGGCACAGATAATACTATTTTGCCTTTAAACAAGCTTCACACACAAAATAACACCAGCCTGTACTAGGCTTAAAGATAGCTGAAAGTATTCTCAATGGTGTTTATTGAAGATAAAAGTAATAGTACTGGGTTTTCTTCTCAAAATTCAAAGAAAGAAAGAAATTTAAGGAATGAAAAATATGAGTGATTGAGTCACTTCTTGATGTGTGTGTGTGTTGTTGGTTTTGTTGTTGTTTTTTATATCCCTCATTGACCACACAATTCTCTGATTTCATTTCAAATTCCATACACATTTCTATGGTTTTGTCCGTATAACAGTGGATGGTAAAATTTGCAGTTCTCTATAAAACAGTTAACTCACCAGCAAAAGCATTTAGAATTCAATACATGATATAGTGTTTTACCTTAAAAGAGGAAGTGGATTAAGTATTAATTTGCAGAAGTCAGTCTCTGCCTTAGTCATGATGTAATTACTTATACAACTTGTATGATCTTGTCTGAGTTAACCTAACTTTACATGTTTTTACCTCTTCCAGATGAAATATGAAAATTGATTAGTTAATGCCTTACAGCACCTTGAAAATATGTGAGATTTACTATCTTATATTATTAGAAATTCTAACTACTGAAGATTGTGTGATTCTGTGGGTTTTGTATGTATCTAACGCAAATGAAGGGCTTAATTCTTACTACTCTTCTGTCATACCCCCCTACTAGCAAGATTGGATCACAATAACATCTCAACCATATGAAAAGATCTTTACTAAAGGTGTAAAGTAGTTTTCTCCTTAATGCTCGAGTCTTCCTCTAAGATCCTGTTTCAGGTTCACTGTCATTGCTGGCTGATCACTGCATGGATCAAGCTTCTCTGGCTTCTCCAGCTGGCAGTGCGCAGGGGGTCAGCAGCTGCTCCCCTCATTTGATGCTCTGGGCTGGGTGTTTACTGAAGCAGTAATGACCAGTTTTAGAAAAAAAAAAAAATCATTGCTGAGGGGAAGCTTCCCCAGCACATCATAGTGAAACGTGGTCAGAAGGAAATTGAAATACCTGATAGAATGAAGTCAAGAATTTTGGATAGAGAACAGAACTGCACAGCACCAGGTGGTTTTTGGAGCAAAAGTTGACCCAGGTATAATTAAAGAAATGACTGAAATCAATCATATTGCACTACATATAAAACATACTGGAAGTGTTAGAGAAAATTATAACTTTGGCCCAAGAGGTAGAAAAACATTAGAAAGCAGGATTTAGACAGAGCTTTTCACTTGGATTTGGTCTGTTTCAGTATCATTAATTTCATAAAGCTCATTGGTTTCAGTATCATGAATGTCATAAAGCTCATTGGTACATGCACAAAATGACAATGGCAGGAGGGAGAGCCCAAATCAAAACCTGGCAATAGCCCCTCAACATAAGCCCAGAGGGACACAGAAGAGCAGGTGGGAACCAAAATGAAGGACTCTTGAGGAACAGCCACCTTGTCCCAGATGATCCATCAGCCCCAGTGTTCAGGCATAGAACAGGTCACCATGAGCCACAGGGAGCAGCTCTCCAGACCACCATTCAGACTAAGGGTGTTTCTGCCTAAGTGTGGGACATGTTATGGGGTGCAGGGGAAAGCAGTTTATGGTCACATAGAACTTATTATGGGATGTTTAGGGGAGGCAAAAAAAAAAAAAAAAAAGTGGGACAAGGGAGGGATCCAGGCGATTTAAGGAGGAACAGGAGGGGGAAGATGGCGAGGTAAGGGGATAAAAAGGACCAGTGATATGTAATTATTTGGCTAGTCAGTATGCCTGTCTAGTGAGAATATATGTATATACACACATGTATAAGGCATATCACCACAGCAGCTGGGCTCAGATACACAGTCTACCCAGTTGCTGGCATCTGAACATGTGAGCCCCCATGAATATATTTAGACTGTACTTTAAATTATTGTTTATGCAAAATATTCATTACAAGTTAAATGCTGATACATTTAGTTAATCTTAGATAATTTTTCAATTATCTAAGATTGAAAATGGACAGGAGAAGATATTGAGTAAAGATTGATGGTGTTCAACTCATTTAAGTAAATCAATATTTAGCAGATAGTTTTTAAGCATCACAATGCTTGTTTGTTTTTTAACAGCCTAATATTCATTAAAATTCATTAAATGACCTATATGCTCTAGTGGTGAAATCACATCCCTGTCATAGGCAAGAAGAGCCTGTAAGGAAGTAGTAGATTTTAAGATATTAAAGTTTACTTTCTTTTCATCATCCTATTAGCAGAGGAGATAAAGTAGGGGTATCATGAGTGTATTAAGAAAAAAGCCATTCATATTTGGAAGTTTATTTTAGCTTGAACTTCATCAATAAATTCACTTCCAAGCTTTGCTGGTTTTATTTTTAATCATCAAAAAAAATTCTCTGCACTTACAGAAATTAAGCATAGTTTTGTGGTAAAGGTTAAACATGGGTTTACATGGGGATAACAAATGTTATCAGGAGAGGTGCCCAAGTCACTTCTGAACTCATTAGCGTGGCTCAACTGTTTACAAGAGTCTATAATAATATGATCTTAAAGCGATTTTAACATTTTAAATCATACAATTAAGCAGAGGCCTGGGGCATGGTGTTTCATCAGTGCTGCAAGGAACAGATCCCTCACTTCAAGCTGACAATAACATTTAGCTACAACTAATTACCCATATTAAGATATTTCCAGTTTTTTAAAAAGTACAACCAGGGAAAAATAAGCCCTGAGGATTTTACCTTTACTGAAGTATATAATGTGTGAATATGCTGATATAAAAGAGCTCCTTCCCAATGGTAACTTTGTATTTAACATGGGAAGAGAAAATGTGATAGTTCTTTAAGCTACTAGGTGAAAACTGTATACTAACTTTTTTCAAAATTAGATTTCTGCAAGGTAACAATTAGTTATATTTTTATTACAGTGTAACCTATGAAAGATTTCACTTAAGTTAAATGAATAATATAATTGATGTAAAATATTATGGTAATCTAAATGTGTGCACAATTATTACTAAATACAGTTGATAAAATGCATGGAAGATGAGTATGTAAAGGAGGAAGATATATTTAAGCATACTTCCCCCAAACATTTTTTCACAGGCTGGTGTTCACTAGGTCTGCTTACTGTGTTCTGCTTAACCAAAGCAGTAGACAGTCTAGGAAAGTGGAAACAGGTAAAAACTACTGGTTGTTTTGGTATGGTTTTCTGTGCTTTTCTCCTGTGCTGTTAATACTGGACTGCTAAGCCATGGTTTGGCTTGATAGGGTTCTCCTGTCTATCTCTAATGCAATTCATGTGGCCCATGGAGCTAGAAAGGAAAGGGCAATAATACAACTATAAAAAGTAAATATATAAAATAGAAGCAAAATGATGCTATAGTAAAGTGGTCTGGAGATGGAGGAACAGAAGAAATTCTGCTATTAGTCCTCAAAGAGTCTAAGCAGCATTTTTATATTGCATACACACAAGCTCATTCATAGTCTTACCTGTTTTCCATGTGTGGTTTCAAATTCCTTCTATGCGTAGGTTTGCATCCCAATTCCTAACAGAAACTTCATAATAAGCAAGTGCATAGTTGAATCATCCCCTATGACCTGCATTTTGACAGAAAAGACGTTATTAACTGGGTGGTTAAGGAGCAAATGAAAAGAGAAGGAATAGATGGTAGGTTTGAAACCTGAAAAGGCAAGAAAAGAGGGTCAGAACTGAAGGATTCAGTTTTTCTTTATGGTTGCACTTCAGCATCTCTTGTAGAACAAAGCTTTTTAGGATTCCCATCATACATCATGATCTCAACGTCATGATTTTCAGTAAGAACAAGATCACTCCACTTTTGAATGATGAAAATCTATCTTACGTCCCATGAAATACACAACAATTGAAATGTGGAAAATGAAAAGTATTCTTCTCTTAAATCTTAGAAACATTTTTCCCAGTCTCAGTTGCAATGGAGAGATGCAAATTAACGGGCTGACTCCCAAGAACCAAGGGAAAAAATGTGTTGCAGGCCACCATACTTGTTCCCATATAACATGTTTGGATTTCAGCAAGCAGGGAGTATTTCTGAGATGCAAACTTGCAGACTGAGAGAACGGAAAGAAGGTTCCAGCTACCTTCCTCTTGTCACAATTCTGCTTCTCAACCACTATTTGTATCAGTGTTCTTTTTGATAATGTGCACTGTAAAAGCAAAGCAAAAAGGGAACTAAGAAAATATTTTTTTCTAATCTCTCAACCACTGCTAACCCCTAATTTTTAGATCATTTAAGCCAGCATTACTGTCCAAATAGAAAATGATAGCTAGGACATTTTAAGGTGTATTAACTTCAAGTATGAACGCTTTAAAAGAACACTTACCTTTTCAAATTTAGTCCTGGAATGATACATTAATTATATAAAGAAACTTGGAGAACCATTACAGGAAAAACAGTGATTTTAAGAGAAAAGTCCATGCATGATTATAATTAAACATGGAAGCATCCATAAAATTCCAACCCAAAAATGTAAGAGATCAGAACAGAAAATGTCTTCAACAGATACTGTAATTTATGGTCATCTTGTTTTGCAGTCCTTCTTAGCTGTTCTGCTGAAAGTAAGAAAGAATGGTGATTAGACTTAGTTAAGGGAGCAGACTGACAGAGCTCCAACTGAAGCCATTTTTTCAGGCAGGATAGCAAGTTGCAACATTTCTGACTAAGAATCGATGGCATCATGTTGTGTAAGATACTAGTGTATGTCATCATCCATTTATGAACACCTGTAAGTCCTTACATTTGATGACCTGTGCCCTTGCTTCAATAATTTTGATCAGCTGAGGACTGCAGATGATCCCAAAAATTTTCCAGGTGTTGTCATGAGTCTTGCACATTGTGAGGCATTCTCACAGTTTTGTCATCTCCAGTGTTGTTTTTTGCTCGTGGTTATTCCTAAGAGCACGCCTTTCAGAAATGGCACAGTACCACCATCATTGTTTTTATTGTTTATTCTGTAACCTTTACATTTCTAAATATGTGTACTGGTATTGCTTACCAGTCCTTTTATACCTAGGAAAATATCTTCTAGAAGTATTATTGCATGTGAATTATTTCGCCTTGCAGACAGTATCTGTTTTATGGTTGAAATGTCTTTTGTGTTAGAAAGAGACCCATGGTTTTTTTTTGTTTGTTTTGTTTTGTTTGTTCATTTGTTTTTGTTTGTTTGGTTGTTTGTTTGGTTGTTTGGTTTGGTTTGGTTTTGGATTTCTATTTTTTATTTTTTTGGCTAATATTGGGAAAACAGTAATCAAAATGGAAGCATTTTCTTATAATGCCTTCTAAAACTCCTCCATATTCCCCTGTGTTAAATCCATTTGGCCCATTTCTTATGACATGCATAGTTATATAAATCCATATTTGATTCCACAGAGGATATTAACACACTTTACTGAATTACCCAGCTTAGAAATCTGAGATTTTTCATAGATGTGAATTATTGAGTCCCTAATAAAAGTCTTTATCTTTTCTTTTTTATAAGTGCTTAATTACACTACTATTCTAGAGGACAGAATTTTTCAATAGCTCTATCTCACCAGAAATACTGCATAATATCATGCACTGCATAATATCATGCATTACCCCAGTGTATTTTAGGCAAAGTCACTATCTCTTTTTTACCGTGTCTAAATGAAAGCGCCACACATTCTTTTAATCTGTATCTTCTCCAAATACTTTAATCTGCAAAGATCCCTTCAGATCTGCAGAAGCTCATGCACCTGTCACATCAAATGATTTTCGCCTTCGTTTTTTTTAATAACGTGAATCCCCCTGACATATGCATTGCAAAAATGAATGCAGGAAGGGCTATTCTTCTTTCATTCAACAATTTCCATTCCTACCTCCCAGGGAGATAAAGTACTTGCATACTAAACTTTAATTCTTTGGGTTTGTGGGTTTGTTGTTGTTGTTTTTTTTTGTTTTTTTTTTTTGTTTTTTCCTACCAAATGTTTTCATATTAATGAAGCTGATACATTTATACTTCGGGACACCAAAAGACTAACTAATCCTCTTGATGCTTTATTTCTTGGGACTTGAAAGGCTTTTAAGTGCCACCTGAAACTTAGTATTATCCTGTTTGTTTGATTTAATTTTCTGTAAGTAAAATAGTTTTTAATGATGTGGTTTAATAATGGACAAGTGCTAAAAGATTTGGTTCAGTTTGCATAAGCCACTAAAAGCTTTTGGACACTCATTCTAGTTTAAATTCTGTCATTACAAAAAAGGAGTTTCTGATAAGAAAATATCTTGGTACATGCCTGAAGACATTCTTCTTTAAGCTAAACCACTTCCAGCAAGAAACAGTCTCTAATGGGCATTTATGTTGCTGAAACAAGGTTCCATAATGTTCTGTTCTTCCTGCATGATACGAGGTTACTACATCTGTGGCAATTAAGGCCTAAATTCTCAGCACAAATTCTCAGCACAAATTCAGAAAGATAGAGTTGTGAACAGACATAATACTGTACACATTCACCAAAATTCACTCAACTTCTTCTCAAAGGTAGGTAGGAATTTCCTTTTTGTTTCAGTTAATGAGGCAATAACAGGTTTTCTGTGTATTCAAGCTCTGTTTATTTTGTCTTTCTCCTTCACTACATCTGTAGTGTCTTAGGAGACATGGGCATCTTTGAGGAATTCTTGAATCTTCTTCCAAATCTCTCTGCTCTTCCGTTTATATTGATGTTATATTATATCAATCCCTATGCCCATTCTTTGGCTTCAGATATTTAAGCATTAAATGGGAGTTATTTGGCTCACATTTTAACAAAAGCATGTTCTAAAATTCCCCTTTCCACTCAAATAAAAATAGAAAGTATATTGGGGGTGCTTGAAGGAAGGAAGCAAACCAACCAAACAAAAAGATAAGACATATTGAAGGGCTTAAGAGTTTCTGACAAACCAGATTTATTACTCTAGCCCTATAACTCTAGAAAAAAAGGTAATAAAATCTGGCAAGAAAAAGTTAAGACTTGCAGTTGTTGCCAAATATGTGGTGTATGGAGCCACTGAAAACACAGTTTACTAAGTTACCCAGGAATTCTCCAAATGCAAGAGTGAGAAACACTGAGTGAGAAACACAGTGTGTTAGTCCCTGAGAAACAGGACTAACATACTAACATAGCCACTAATGTAACATCTATCTGCACAGTGAAGGCTACTTCATCTTGTATGAGCTGCTTTACTATGGTGTAAAGGGATTTTTTTTAAGGTATGACATTTTCTGATAGAAAAAATTACCATGAAACTTTGCTCAGGGTCATGCTGTCTTTAACAGAGAAATTTAGTGAGCCTCCTAAGAAAAAGCAGATAGAGGAAGCCTTATGCAGGGAATAATGTCAACCGTCCCTTCACATTAGTGATGGGATTTGTGTCATCCTTTTTTGGCATACCATTAGGACAGTGAAGCTGTTCCTTCATTGGTAAATGATGATATAATATAAAAACTACAATATCATAGCAAAATATTATAATACATAAAGACACAAAACTCCCCAAATCCCTCAAAACTAGAAGATCAGCCATTTTTTATCCTTAATATGAAGAGGTCATGCACTCATACAGTTTATGCACATTTTATTTCTTGCATCTTCTAGTTTGGAAAGCAAGATTCTCCTCATGTTTGAAAATTACTGTGTCCAGTTACCAAACACTAAGAAATTTTCATTTGACTAAATTCTGTATGCTAAGGCATTCACATTATTTTCTCTTAAATATTTTATTTTATTGAACATTCTGCTAGTCTTGTTACTTCCAGGAGGTTTCTTCAAAATAAGTTCAGATCAGAAGCTTCTGTGTTTAGCTGCTCTTTGATGGCCTCTGCTGTCCAGGTGCAGAAATAGGCAAATTGGAAATGACATTAGTGAGAGCCAGCATAGGAATGTATTGTATACATGTATGCTCATCTTCTATGTAGTGCAGAGTACAGGCAACATTTAGTAAAGCTACCTTTAGTAATGCCATAGTAATGGAGGGAAAAGTTCTATTTGAATTAATCCCACCAACCACTTGGCTGGGCTGGATTAGATTCAAACGAGTGCAGGGTTTATGCAAAGCCAAACCAACCAATTGACCTTTGAAGCTTGATTTATTCCTGTAAGCCAGTTTCTGTCTTGCTTTCCACCAGCAACAGAAGTGGTGAAAAGGATTATAGTCATTCTCAGTAACATCCGCTGTTGCACAGATTTTTATTTGATAGTATACTGGTGTCGTTTGTTTCTGGGTAATATCCACATGCATCAAGATTCCACAGAAGTTGAAGGACTGCTCCTACACTTTGTGCTCCTGCACAGCTTCCTGGACTGGGGTCCTTTCCCTTCTGGCTTGGTACACATAACATCTTATTTAACTTCATTCAAAGTGTCTTGCTCTTGTCTAGCCTTTGCATGCTCTCAAAGCTCTCTCCTTCAGTTTGGAATCAGAAGAGGGAGTACAAGAACATTGATAAAGTTTCCAACATCTAGACTTTCAGGGCACTGTAATGACATAACATGCTGTAACTCAGGGATGAGAGAAAGCTACATTTCAGTTATATGTCTTCAAACCATACAAAGGTTTGTGCATACACAAAGCTTTTAATGCTAAAATAAAAGTAAAAACATTTTGCTTTTCCAAGTATAGTTATTTTTTTTTCTTCTTAGCTCAGCTATGAGACTACTAATGAATGGATTTGTCAGACACTACAGAGATATTTATTATTCACTGAAGTGCCCCACTGAAATGTTTACAGCAATTCCTTTGCTTGCAAGAATGTTGAAGTCTACAGAATATTAAAAAAACAAACAAACAAACAAACAAAAAAAAAAACACCTTTTTTTTTCCTCTCACTGGAGGTCTCTGATCAACATATGCCTTAATCGATTAATATTTAAAAATATAATTATTATTTAATTTAAACTGTAAATGTTTATTTAATATAAATATTAATTAATTGATATTTAAAGTTTTTTGTGGATACAAACTGAAATTAATTAAAAAAAAAAAAAAAAAGGATGCACAAAGCAAACCAAACCTTGTTATCTTGCACCCTATGTCCTTGATTGACTCGGTATTAAAATTCACCCTCAATCCTTGACTGTGTCTGTTTTTGGAGTCCATGCTTACACTGATATTGTTATTTGTTCATCTAAGGAACTGCAAGGCACTAAGGACTACTTGTCTGTTTGCTACTGGGAGAAGTATGTCATCTGAGGAAGAACTTTTCAATCCTTCAGTCACTCAGAACTGAATTTTTCAGATTTAATAATTTTGATCAGATTAGTGGTTTAGATTTCAGATCAATGGTTTAAAAGAAGTCCATTTTTTTAGAAAGTACTAAAAACGTACCCCTGGAAATGGGGGAGGAGGGCTATATTTAAAGGTCACAAACCCTTTGTGACCCTGATGGCAAGTGGAATCTGTGCTTACTTGTATTTAGAAAAACAAAACAAAGCGAACAAAAAAAAAAAAAAAAAAAAAAAAAGTCACCATCATTTCTTCCAGCAGGCTCTGTGAAGTGCATGGAACACAGGAGAAAGTAATGTCCTAAGTAAGGAAGTTGTGCTTTTTTGTTTTGTGTGTTTATCCACCCTAATCCCCTCAAATTGCAACTAGTACTACTAGCAGTGGTTTTAATTCTGTCACTGTCTTTCAGCTCAGTGTTGCATGCAGCAGCATTGGGCTG